CCCATGACCTCAGCCTGCTGCCGCTCCTCGCATGCCCACCCCTCTGCTCTCTGTTTTGCTCTCAGCACCGCTGTTGCCTGCGAAGCCTCACCTGCTGCTGCGGCTGCTGCTCGTGCGGGCACCTGCAGCTGCCGTGTCGTCGCTGCTGCTGCTCCTCGCAAGCCCAAACACACCCGGCGGATCCGACTCACGCGCCCGCCGTCCTCCTTATAAGCAGACTTGCTGTACTCGCCAAGAGCAGCCCCAATACTGTCTACAGTGTGCCTCCTGCTATGCAACCCAGGTATATCTGCACTGTAGGAGCTCTGAGCCTCCCCTTGCTCCCCCCCGTTCAAAACCACACACCATCCATCCTCTCCTCCTGCTGTTTCTCCTTCCAACCCCCCACCTTGCTCCCCCCCGCTCAAAACCCCACTCCCTGTCTCATGCCAACTTTTGCTACCTCCTCCGCTCAAATCCCTGCCACTCAACCCCGCACCGCTCAAATCCCTCATACTCAAATCTCTCCCACTCGAACTACTATCACTCAAACCACTCAAGCTCCGTCCAGCAGCCTCCATGATGCTCCTCTTGCGCGCACCCCTCGACCGGCTCCGCCACCCACCCAGCTGCTCTTTCTCTGCTGCCTCCCACACGTCCTTGGGCCCATCTGAAGGTACCGAAGTCAGCGCCTCATGGTGCGAGTGCCACCGCCGGTTTACACTCTTCCACGAGGGGAAACCCGAAGAACGCCCGGAAGAGAACCCCCGGGTGGGGCCCCCCAAGGGGACGCTGGAGGGGAAACTAGAGGAGGGGAAACTGGAGGGGAAGGCAGAGAGCTTTTTCAGGAGTTCGCGGGGAGAGAGGAGCGTACGGTGGCGGGGTAAGGGGATGCGGGGTGAGGTGTTGCTGCGAGGAGGCCGTGTGAATATGCTGCCCTCGCTCACTGATTGATGAAGCTGCTCCTTCCCCTGCCGCCCCTTCCCTTGCTGCTGTTGCTCCCCTTGCCGCTGCTCTTGCTGCTGCCCTTCCTGCTGCATGTCCTGCTGCTCTTGCTGCTCCTCTTGCTGCTGATCGTGCTGCTGCCTTAGCTCCTGACTAGCACTTGCTCGTTCCTCCTGACTAGCACTTGCCCGTTCCTCCAACCCAGCTCCCCTACCCTGCACCCCAGGCCCTCCAGCGGCACGGCCGTCAGAAGCACCGAGACTCTCCTGTAACCCAGACCCTGCCGCCTTGCCTAATGCCTTGCCAGGCGCCTTGGCCCATCCACTGCTGCCGGACGTCTTTCCAGGCGTTTTGGGCCCAAAGAATGAAATGCTGCTTCCAGGCAGGGGCGAACGCGCTGGGTTCTTCCAGGGGAGGGCCCATCTGGGGACGGTGGATGTGGCGGACAGGTCGCCGACAGAAACTGACGGTTTGAGGAGGTTTCGCACGGTGGTGGGTGGTTCTGAGCTGTGAAGCGAGGGTGGCGCAGGAGCGGGAGCAGGAGGAGCAGGAACAGGAGCAGGAGCAGGAGCAGGAGCAGTGACAGTGGCTGCAGACATGTAAGGGTCGTAACAGCGACTGTAGCATCAGTAGGGGTAGTAACGGCTGTAGCAGCAGCAGGGGCAGTAGTAAGGGCTGCAACAGCAGCAGGTGCAGTGGTAACAACTGTAGGTGTCCCTTCAGGTGCTTCAGATGAACCTTCAGGTGAACCCACAGCTTCTTCAGGTAAAGTCCCAGATGCTTCAGGTGAACCCTCAGCTTCTTCAGGTAAACCCTTAGGTGCTTCGGGTGAACTCCCAGGTGCTTCAGGTAAGCCCTTAGCTGCTCCAGGTGAACCCTCAGGTGCGTCAGGTGAATCCTCAGGTACTGCTGAAGGACCTTCAGCAGGCAGCACAGGAGCAGCACCGGGCATAGCAGCAGGACTGCAGGTGGTGTGTAGTGAAGTTTCAACAGCGAGTGTGACTGCATCCTGAGGTGAGTTGACACTTGGTGGCAGAGATGTGACTATAGCAGGTGTGGGAATGGCAGGTGTGGGAATGGCAGGTGTGGGAATGGCAAGTGTGGGAACAGCAACAGCGGTTTGTGGTTCAGAGGCATGCAGTGCATTCGGCATGGCTGCTTCCAAAGCTTCCAACGGAGGTGCCTCCTCACACTCGCCACTTGGTGGTGCTGCCACCAGAGCTCTGTCAATGCATGCTGTGTCAACCCCTGCTGCATCAATGCCACCGCCAGCACCACCACCCATCACCATCACCATCACCATCACCATCACCATCACCATCACCATCACCATCACCACCATCAAACCACAACCACCACCAGTGCACCTCCTCCGCCTACCTCCACCCCCTGACTGCGGTTGTGACCGGCCGCCATCGGAAACTCACCGCTCAGTTTCCACCCCGCACCCCCCTCCTCCCTCCCTCCCTGCACCACTCTTCCCCCGCTGACTCCGCCTCACAATGAACCCCTGCTCCCCCTGCGAGGATTGCTGAGAGCTCTCCAAGCCACTCTGCCCTGCCAGCCACGCCACAGCCTGCTCAAAATCCTCAAACCCCTGCCCCACTCTGCATGCTTCGTCTTGTCTCCCTCCACTGCTCTTTGGCCGACTTAAAGTGTCAACCGTTTCAGAGCGATTCAAACCCTGCCCCACTCCTTCTCCTCCCTGCCCCGCCCTATCCGCTCCCCGCTCCCTCCCTCCACTGCTCGTCGGCCGACTTAGACTGTGAACCGTCTCAGACCGCTTCACCTGCTTCCCCACTCCCCCTCCTCCCTGCCCCACCCTGTCTGCTCCCCGTTCCCTGCCTCCACTACTCGTCGGCCGGCTTTGAGCCGTCTCATTGCCCTTCCCGCGCTGCCGGGACCCAGCTGGAGGGAGGGGCCAGAGGGGCTTGTATCGTGCATCGGTGTCAGGGATCGGTGGTGCGAGAGTGAACTCAGAGGGCCTGTGAGAGGGCGTGAGGGGCCAGAGAGGGTGTGCGGATCCCCGGCGATTATGCTTGAGGGTGTGTGGGCGGACGGAATAGTCTTGTGAGAGGGCGTGAGGGGCCAGCGGGGCTCGCATTGTGCTCCAGTTGCTGTTGCTGTTGCTGTTGCTGTTGCTGTGCTTGACTGCGACTTTTGAGGCGCCTGAAACGTGCCTGTCCTCTTGGGCGTGTGAGATGGGTTGGCTGATTCTGCTGAGTGAGTCTCATTGCGCTTCCTTGCGTCTACAGCTTTGCTGCGCTTCCTGTGCTTATGGGTGTGAGCAGGTCTCCTGAAGCCCCAGCAGGAGCATCAGAAGCAGGTGCAGCAGCAGGTGCAGCAGTAGATACATCAGCAAGTGCAGCAGCAGCAGCAGCAGCGGCCGCAGCAGAATGAGCAGCATCCTCGTTACAAGCAGACTCGGAGTACGGCACAACAAGGGGGGGCACAAGGGGTCAAGGACCAGCTTGAGAGTGCGGGATGAGAGGAGCTTGCGTGAATATCCCCCGGGTGCTGCGTTTGGGGTCGACTCACAAGTCCCCTCGGGTGTAGCCGATGCAGCGGATGGGGTGGTATCGGGTGGAGCGGGCGTTGCAGCCTGCTCCGATTGCTCGTCAGCTGCAGCCCCCGTTGCTGCAGCTGCTGCTGTTGCCGCTGCTTCTGTTGCTTCTGCAGTTGCTTCTGGTGCTTCTGTTGCTGCTGCTCCGCCTGCCTCCACCCCTCCGCCTGCCTCCACCCCTCCGCCTGCCTCCACCCCTCCGCCTGCCGCCACCCCTTGGCGTGCCTGTGTTCCCTTGCTGTGAAACCAATGATCCTCTGCTGTCTCCCCATCACCTTCCTCACCTCCCTCCGCTTCCCTCTCCTCCCTCTCTTCACCTCCCTCAGCTTCCCTCTCCTCCCTCTCCTCCCTCCTCTCCCTCTCCCCCTCACCCCTTTCACCCTCACACACCTCCTCGCACTCCTCACTCACATCTCCACCAATTTCCACCTCATTAAGACAGAAAGCTTCCTCGTTACCTCTTAACCCCACGCTCCCTTCAACCTCCTGAGAAACTTCAGAAACAGGCTCTGCTGCTCCACCTCCCCTGCTCTCCGCCTCCTCTTCTGCCTCCTCTCCTTCCTCCTCCCCTTCTGCCTCCTCTCCTCCTCCTCCCCTTCTGCCTCCTCTCCCTCCTCCTCCCAATCCTCCTCTTCACTATCCTCTCCCCAATCTATATCATCCCATTCAGGCCCACTCTCCTCATCCCCTCCTCCTCTTCTGAGCACCATCATATCCCGCACCTCGTGCCATATCTCCCTTCCACTCTCACTCTCACCCTCCCCCTCCCCTCCGCCCCTCCCCTCCCTAAGCCTCATACTACCCTCCCACCCCCCCTCACCGCTCTCCCCCACACCTCTTCCTCCCCTTCTCCCTTCGGCGCTCTTCCCTTCAACTCTTCCCCCTTCGGCGCTTCCCCCTTCGGCGCTTCCCCCTTCGACGCTTCCCCCTTCGGCGCTTCCCCCTTCGGCATTTTCCCCCTCAGCGCTCCCCCTCTCCGCGCTCCCCCTCTCCGCGCTCTCCCCACCCACCGCACGAGCTGGTTCTTCTCCGCGGCCTCCCACACATCTCTCCCCATGGACGGCGCTCTACCCGCCAAATCACCTGCGCCGCCTCCGCCACTCGCCTGCCGTTTCGCCTGCTTCCGCGCCTCGTACAGCCTGCGCGCGCCTGCGCGGAACCCGAACAGCCCCTCGCGCGCAGCGGCGGAGGTGGGGGTGATAGTGCTGGTGGCGGAACGGGGCAAGGAGCTCCTGGGGTGGCGGAAGCGGCGCTGGGGTTGGCGGAAGCAGCGGCGGGGGTGGGGGACGCGGCAGGGGGATCCCAATCCGCTATCGCGCCGGCACTCGTGCCCCTTCTGCTGCTGTTGCTGCTGACGCTACGGTATTGGTTCGCTGAATTGAAGGCAATGCTACCACTTGTAGCCCTTCTGCTTCCGCCACTGCTGCTCGCGTCGCCAATGGTAACGGCGCGCCTAAAAAGCTCCGCCCCCTGTAGCGCATCTCTGCTACCGCCCGCGGATTCCCCGCCCCGCCTTCGCCCCTTCCGACCGTTCCGCGGTAGCGGAGCGAGCACGCCTCTCTCCTCTCCCATATCCTCTTCCCCCGCCCGCGCCTTGTCCCCGCGCCCCGCCCCCCCAAGGGCTCCGCTTATCGCTCCTCCGCCCTTCCCCGTGGTACGTCAGTGGGCCCGTGACCGCCTCTGGCGGGCTTTCCGCTCCACCATTGGCGCTGATTGCGCCGTCTCCGCTCGCGCTTCTTCCCGCGCGCCTTCCGGGGACCAATAACTTCCCCTCGATTCCCGCCCGTGCCGCCGCTTTCGTCTCTGCTGTCCCATCCGTCCCCCGTCCCGCCCCACCTTCACCTCCGCTAACTTTTAAGCGCAGCAGCGGTGGCGGCTTCCGCCCATCGTCGGGATTGGCGGCATCCTCGATGAGGGGAAGTGCAATGTCGGCGGCGGGCGAGGTTGACGCGTTCGCGGGGACGGCGGATGTGCAGACTGGCGACTCGGCAGCTGCGTATGGGATCATATTCTAGAACGAAGAATTCTGTGGCGAGGATAAACGTTGGAATTGCGGTGATGTCGGATGGCGATGATGGGATGGTGACTACGTGTCAAGATTCATGCGGTCGTCGCAAGTCGACTCAGCAGTCTCCGACAAAATGCCCGCGTTGTTCCTCCATTACTTGCTTTCCTAAGTCACAGCTGCATGCAGCTTCGAGGAACCTCAGCCAGGTTGAAACTGGTAAGGGAATTGCCTTCGTCACAGGGTCGCAAGTGGATTTATGTGCTAGACTAGTAGCCCTGAATGAACTACAGGTAGCAGGCTGGCAGTTGAGTGAGGGGGGAATGGCGGAATGTTGTTCAACCGTGATTCCTCCTGTGCGTTTCAATGGGTGCGCAATGGTGAAGTAGCGATAATGAGCACTCAGGCCGAATTCTACCTTTCACCGCTTTCAACCGCTGCTAACCAGCCTAAAAATGCACCCCCCTGCTTTTGTGGCAAACGCACGCCAGTGGTCCACAGAACATGCTGTGCGGTAAAGCGACAAGGGCAACACGTGGGGTTTGCCGAGCCTAATCTGTCTGTTTCCCCGTCGAACCTGCCCGGCAGCCCTTTCAGAGCCTACAAACTGAGGTGGTTTGGGTTTGGCATGCATCTCGAAAAGCAGCGACTAGGCTAGGCGGGAGGACGTTGGGAAAATGGGAGCGGGTAGTGGTGTGGTGCGGTGGGGATGGGAGAGATGTGAAGGGAGGAGAGGGAGGCGGACAGAGCCATTTCAACTTGAAGTTGTAGTATATATATATTTTCAAATCTTGAAAGAGTTATGCGGACTACAGTGTTTCCTAAACGAAGCACCATTGCCAACCAAATCTCCCTCGAGTTTCACTGACAGAACAGTCCGTGGTTGGTTGCTGCATGACTGGCAGGGCTGGGACATTCGTTTTCACTCAGGTCTAGTTCCCTTCCCACAAACGAATTTTGCTTGCTGTGACTGCATGATTTCACGCATTACACACAGCGTGATCTGTGCTAGGAGCCATCAATCTTAGCGCTCTCATACATACGAAACTTAATCATGGCAGTTCAGGCCGAGGAACAGACAAGAGCGAGAGCGTATATAATTTTTTTTTTTCCGAAGAACGTCCACTTTGCCAACTGTACGTGTGCCTGTCAGTCGTCGACCATTCGTCATTCGACTCTGATGCCTCACCTGTAAAACAATGCAGGTCCTTGTGAATGTTGAATGGAAGCCTACTAAGCTGGCTGGAAGGTTTTACAAGGGAGCTTCCTCACTGCTGGAGAAGCTTCTTCACTGCTGGAGGATTAAGTCAGCTTTACTGGTGCTTGTATTCCTTTTCTGAATCCCGTTTCGCCTTCCCTTCAGTCAGTTTTTTCATTGCTTCATGTGCACGCAGGTGGATATGAGAATGCGAAGGTTAAAGCTTAGTTTTCAGTCACTCGTCTATACGGTGAGAATGGCATTTCTTTACACCTGGGATGTTGACTCTCCTCTTGACGCTTATTTCTCGTGTAGAGACTGTAAATGGCTGTATAATTCGAACTATTAAGCTTATTACGAGTCACGTTCATCATGAGAACACCCTTCATTGACACTTCTGTTGAGGACACATTTGTCGACCCTGGGTATCAGCTTCAGAGGAAATGAAGTCATATCAACCACTCTGGAGTCCAACATTCTAAGCAATGATATCAAGCAAAATCGAGCCACCCAGATCACCTTCAGTTGGCCAGGCTCTCATCACAAACAGCAAGTTCCCGTACCGCATTCGTCTGCTGTCAGCACCACCAGGCACATTGATGAGTGTGATTGATTTTGTCTTGAGTAATTTAAAGCATCAGAAGAGAGACTAACAGCAGTCTGTTTTTTTTTTTTCTTCTTTTTTTCAGGGGCTTTTATTGATTCTATTTTGCCAAATCTGGGCTCTGGATGCACTTCGCACTTTATTACGCTTCATTACCGGTAACTGATGATAAAAGCTTTCTATAGTGTGTTCAACACTGCCTTATTCTGGTACATGCTAGGTACTCTTGGAGTCATGACATTTCTGACCCCGTGTCAGCAGCATACAGAGTTCAAATTGGTAGGAGCAACCATACCAGCATTTCTCTAATGCATTAATACGTGCAGGATTAATTCGTGCATTAATACCGTATTTGTCACTCAAAGTGGATGCCCATTGGAAGTTCCAATTCAAACCAAATCAGTCATGGGTATTCTCACAATGCTGCACCACCTTCACATTGAAGATAATGCCTTTTTCACTTCAAAGGCTCATCTTCGTTTTGCCATGATCGTCATAGAGGTGAAGTGCCCTTAATATAATGGTTTGAACTTTGATAAGATGTTAAACTCCATATTGTTTTGTCAGGTTCTAAAGATGTTCACAACCAACAGCAGAATGGAGCGCTTTAGAACCGCGGCCTACCATGACGAAACTAATCGAACAAAGGTGAGGGAGCTCTTGTTCCAGTGAATCTGGGACGTCTGTCCGCTTGGGAGGTTTCAAAAGAGAGAATTACTGTAGAACCCTGTTTGGTGATTCATTCTTACTCGCGTGGCCTTGAATTACTCGAGTGACCACCGAATTTGGTGATAATTACTGGAGTGGCCACGCCAGGGCATTTTCGAGGATCTGTCTTCCCCGGTACATTTCTCTACAAGGATTTGTAACTCCGAAATTCCTTGTTCGCACGAGTCTCATCCCGAGGTAGCGTTTTCGTACTATTTCCCACCCGAAAAAAACTAAAACCCGCTCGGAAGGCAAGCCATCCGAGGGAGCCTCAACCCTAAAATTTTAGGTTGAGGCTCCCGAATGGCATGCTGTGAGCCGTGGGGTTTATTTTTCACCTTAGGGTAATGCGCTGGTAAAAAACAAGCCAGCGAAAATCCCCTGGCCTGGCCACTCGAGTAATTATCACCAAATTTGGTGGTCACTCGAGTAATTCAAGGCCCTGCGAACAAGGACGAATCACCGAACAGGACACTGGAGAAATTCTCTCGTTTTAAAGGCTCCCAAGTTTCCATTCCCGCGCTGCGTCCGAGCCTCGATCCGTTTGTTGATCGTGACTGCTGGAAATGAAGTTTCACTTGAAATGCTTCGTCTGTTGACAGATCCCCTTTCAGTATTTGAAGAGTATGCACTGATCTGGCGTCGTTGTATGGTTCCTCTTACGCCGACTGTTCCCGGAGCTCCAGGTGCGGCAAATGACAGTAATCCGTCTCTACTGAGGTGCGCTTTCTTGGAGCCCCACTCCTCTGCGCTGACGCATCCACACGCGAATGCTGAGAGTGTCAACAAGGACTGCGGAGAGGACCAGTTGCTACATGCGCGGATCGCTGAAGCTGCGAAGGTCGAGGGGGACCAGTGGAGAGATGAGACGGCAGCGACGCGAACCGCTTGGTCTCAAACGAACGACGGCGTAGTATTCTCAGCCTCTCGCACACCGGGGATGTCTGACAGCGGTCATTGCGGCAGGCGCGACGTGTAACGATTCCGCCACGGCGCTCACTCTGCCACTCGCCTGACGGTGCAAGTCCAGCTCTTCCGCCAACCCTGCATACGTTTCTGACCTGTGGATGCCGCGAGCCGTGCGTACGTGCAGCACCTGTGGGTTTCGTGTTCGCTCTGTTCATTGGCAAGGATGCGGAGTGCTGGCGATCATGACCGCCGTGGCCTGCACGCGGCCATGGCAGCGATCTGCAGGCGACTGGCGACTGCTGGCGCCATTGCTGGAGTCCTCCGCTTTGGACGCTGGTTGGAGAGTTGGACGTTATTTTCGGGAGATTGACGCGCTTGCATTGATGAACGGCGAATGACGGCTTACTTATAAACGCGCCGAGCAGCATACGACATACAACACCTGCTACGTGTGTGGCGCGTAGCGTTGGTGGCTCATGACGGCAATGAGCTCAAGCGCCTTCGCTTGCTTCGCAAAATTTGGCACTTTTTTTGCGGCCCCCCTCCCCCCCCCTCTCCTTTCGTTTCTCTTGTAGTGAAGGGGGTTGCTATGCATTCACACCATGCGCACCCTCTCTTCCCCACTCACCCATCGCTGTCTTAGCTCGCTGCTGTAGCCCACCGTCACCATGCGCTTTCCCCCGTCCCCACACATTCCAACCACCTGCTGTCATGTGTTACCACTCACTCACTCACTCACACTCTCACACTTGTTCTGCTCGTTGTCCGCTCTGTTCGCACGTCCTTGTTGCTCCTGCTGCACGTTGGCTCTACTCTTGCTTTCTCGCTATCCTCCGTTGCATCTTCTCCCCCCACCGCTGTCTCTGCCCCACCCTTTTTTTGTCCCAGGGCGCATGGAGAGCAGGTAGGCGAGCAGCAGAGGGCTTTGGAGGCAGCCTCCACCCTCCACCCTCCGCCGTCCTCCCTCTACCCTCCTCCCTCCACCCTACACCCTCCACCGCTCTCTCTCCTTCCTCCACCCTCCTCCCTCCACCCTCCACCCTCCTCCCTCCACCCTCCACCCTCCACCCTCCACCCTCCACCCTCCACCGTCCTCCCTCCACCCTCCTCCATCCACCCTCCACCCTCCACCCACCACCCTCCACCCTCCACCCTCCACCCTCCACTGTCCCCTCTCCTCCCTCCACCCTCCACCCTCCACCCTCCACCCTCCTCCCTCCACCCTCCTCCCTCCACCCTCCACCCTCCACCCTCCTCCCTCCACCTCCTCCCTCCACCCTCCACCCTCCACCCTCCACCCTCCACCCTCCTCCCTCCAACCTCCACCCTCCACCCTCCACACTCCGCCCTCCTCCCTCCACCCTCCACCCCCTCCGTCCTCCCTCCACCCTCCACCCTCCACCCTCCTCCCTCCTTCATCTACCCTCCTCCCTCCACCCTTCGCCGTCCTCCCTCTACCCTCCTCCCCCCACCCTACACCCTCCACCGTCCTCTCTCCTTCCTCCGCCTTCCTCCCTCCACCCTCCTCCCTCCACCCTCCACCTCCTCCCTCCACCCTCCACCCTCCACCATCCACCCTCCTCT